GGGTTTAGGGGTTTTAGGGTTTAGGATTTTAGGGTTTCGGTTTTTTTGGGGTTTAGGGGCTTTTAGGGTCTAGGATTTTAGGGTTTAGTGGTTTTAGGGTTTAGGATTTTAGGGTTTAGGGGTTTAGGGTTCAGGCCTTGGTCTGAGACTTGCTTGTAGGATGAGGAATGGAAAAGACAATGGAAAGCACGATAATGGGTTATACAATGCTGAGGGTTACATAGGGTTTAGGGTGTAAAGGTTTTAGGCTTTAGGTTTAGGGTTTAAGGATTAGGGTTTAGGGTTGGGGGTTTTGGGTTTAGGGTTTAGTCAATCTTGCCTGGACCCCCGAAAGAAGGTGGAAGAATTGTCTTTCTGGCGGTTTATGTGGGTTTGGAGTCATTAAACTATCTTGTTTCATCTGGCAGGTTCCTGTAATTAATTAGTGGGTGAGCTCAGGAAACCCTAAACCCTAAACCCTTTTGGGCTAAACCTTCAATCCCTAAGCATCCCCAAGCCATACAGATTCAACCCAAATCCTACATCCCGAGCTCAGAGCCCTTGTAATCCCCTGCCTTACCTTGGGTTACCCAGAGGGTCCATGTACCCAATAATTAGGTCCCTTTAAAGGGGATATGTAGGGATATATAGGGGGGATATAGAGTTTAGGGTTTAGGGTCCAAGTGCCCAATAATTAGGTACGTGGGTTTTGGGTAATAGTAATCATAGCACAGGTTTTGGGTAAGTAAATGATTATTAGGTACTTGGACCCTTAGGGTTAGCTGGCAATGAAGGAATGGAAGCTACGATAATGGACACTGGGATTATCGGGTTTATAGGGAGTATATTAGGGTTGTTATCGGGGTTATATGGGGATAATGGAAAAGAACATGGAAACTACTATATGGTTTTATGGGGACTACTATAAGAAATCGGTTCCTTCATTCCTAGCTATAGCCAAAGGTAAGTCCTTGGGGCAAAGGTTGCGCGACATGTTCGACTGCTGCAAAGCGCCCTGCTGCAAAGCGCCCTCTGAGCTCAGCAGCCCAGGCAGGCCTCATTTTGCTTCTTTCCTGAGGGGCCAGTTTGGGGTTTCCCATAATTATGGGGTACCATTTTAGGGGTCCCCATAATAAGGACTACAGATATTTTGGGAAACTTCTAGTTAAACCCTAAACCCTCAACCTTAAGCCCTAAACCCGAAACCCTGCGGAGCTCTTTGGGCTAGGTAGGGTTCAGGGTGCTGTAGCTGTTTGATTTCACGGTCTTAGGTGGGGGCAGGGTGGGTGCATCCACTAGCTGCTGCTGGTTTTGTCGCATGTTTCTGTTGGGGGTCTTGAATTTGAGCATCAAGGGCTTTAGGGTTTAGGTTTTAGGATTATGGAGATTTGGAGTGTCAACAGTTCTGGGTTCCAAGTCGGCCTAAATTAAACTCTAAAACACGCCCAAAAGCCTAAAACCTGAGCTGAACCCAACCGTGCTAGGAGAGGCATGCCCCAGAAACTGCCCTAATCTAAACCCTAAACCTCACCCTAAACCATAGACCCTAAATCCTGAAACCTAATGATCTGGCAAAAGGCCACCCAAACAGACCTTTCCATATTGGGGTTTCTACATGCGGAGACCAATACATTGCGCTGCAACCCTAGAACCCCCTCATGGGGTTCTTTGGGGGCTGACCCAGGTTTAGGGCTTAGGGTTATGAGCAGGAAGTATCTAAGGATACCAAGATTCTGGATCCATACCTTGGGCCTATGAGAGATAGCGCGCCTCCTCTTTGTATTCCATGGGCCCCATAGCCCTGAATCCCCTAAACCGTACCTGGACCCCAAAAGTATGTAAAATAATGGCCTTTTGGGCTATTATAGGGGGTTTAGGGCTATTATTCTACATACTTTTGGGGTTTGGGTATAGCGTAAAACCTGCACTTCCCCTGAGCCCAGGCGCCCCGGACCTTGAATCCACAAAGTCTTTGTTGGATCTCTGTGAGAGCCTTGCTGGTTGGAAGAGCCGCGAAACTGTCGGCATGCGCGACGCCTGGGGGTGAGAGACTTGGGGGGCTTTGGGGTTTCACCTGGAACCTGCCAAAGCACCCCTACCAGCCTCAGGTGTTCTTCCATGTGATATAAGAAGCAAGTTGGTGCGCATGTTATTTCTTCATGGCCATGCACGGAAAAGAACCCTGCGCTTCTGAGCCGTGAATTCGGGCAGCATCCGCCAGGTGCTAAGCCAGAGTGGAGCCCATCAGCCTTACGCATGCGGGATGAGTCATTACCATGCAGCCAAACGGCAGTAGGCCACTGCAAGGAATGCAACCTCCCGGGCTCACGTAGGCACTAGCAACTACCCCTCCCCCAAGTTGTTGGCTGTACCCTGCCCCCTCAAGTTATAAGCCGCTGTCAGCAGCTGCTGGGCATTGATTGGTTCATAGCTGGCAGACATTGGAGCTGGTCGCCAATTGGACATTGACACCAGCATTGATTAATTACCGCCCTCACAACATGGCGAGAGGCAGAAAGTTTCATGTCCGGAGGTTGGGGAGTTAAAGACCATGAGAGTAGGTATCTGGGAGGTCTAGGTGGGGTTTAGGCTCTAGTGCTTCTAGCGGCACGGCTTAGTCTTCAGGGTTAGGTTTACCTGGAGATGCACACCAAAAAAGTTCATGTCATCACATCCTATCTTCTCAAAACTGTGTGCCATAATCATCGTCAACTCAGTCGAACAAGCCTGTGAGGCTGTCCTCATAGATGTGTCGTTCTTGCAAAGCATGGGAAGCTTCGCCCAAGAAGGTGCGCTTATTTAGTTCCAGAAGGAATTCTAGTTTAGAGCTGGATATTTAAAGTTATCTTCTACCTATTGTCTTGATTACGTTCAAACTGCATACAAAAATCTTTATATGCGGCATTCGCTGGTGGTTCGGAAAGCATAGCAGGCATGCAAGGGCCTGGTAACAGATGCGCTCCGAAGTTATACCTTCAAGTCTGACACCTCTTGCCCTGATGTACCATCTCGAATGGCATTGTCGTCGCCATGGAGGAACCCGAAAGGGGACCCGCAACAGATTAATTAGGCATGGTGGGTGGGTGCAAGTGCCGATGGAAACTTTACGTGACGTCCGTGACGTGCCCTAGGGAGTGTGTTTTCACTCGCCACTTGTGCCCATCCAATGATCAAGACGTGGGTTTGTGTGAAAAGGTCGTGTTTTTTTTGCAGTGTGCAGTCTGTCCATGAGGAATAAGAAACTAGCAGTCCTACACTGAGAACATTTCACCAGACGGATTCGAAACACTGCCTCTGCAAGGACCTATTTAATTCAACAGGGGCCATGATCGGAAGCAAATGTCGACATGTTTCACGGCGATTCAGCTGAGCAAGATTCAAGGGCCAACTTCTGATATTGGCTTCAAAGTCGTGCAGGGATAGTAGCATTGTCAAATACATCATTCCGGGCTAGTATGGTCATTGTTCTGAGGACCCCCAAAACAACGACCCTAACCTTACATGCCCCTACGTAATCTGCATACATCCCTTATATCAACCCCCCCCAACACTAAACATTTCCTTTGTGGTATATCATCATGTAATGCGGATAGGCGAGTGGGGAGAGGGGTGTCTTATATCATCCCGTGACTTTGCAACGTATCTCCTAAACCTTAGAAAAGTACTAGAGAGCATGGTCCGTCTAGCAGTGTTAATGCTGACAAAGTCGGCCGGAGGCTTGGACAAAGAACTCCGTTCCTCTCCCGGCCCAGTTCCTCAGCAACAGGATGAAAAAATTGCCTTGGCTAAAAAGGTGCACTGTATTTTAGAGGGGCTTACATCTTGGTGCTGATGAAAAGTGCAGCCGCTACACTTAGTTTCTACGGATTTGCTGCCCGTGTTGAACCTGCGTGCGTTGGGGGCTCGGATCTTATGACATGCCAACATTCAAGCCTGGAAGACACGCACTGTGGGTATTTTTCTTGGACGATGGCATGCCCTAGAGGCCCAGTTTCAAAGGGTACAAACGGATTCGGGTGAGTTTGCCTGCTTTGGTCGCATGCTAAAGCCCCAAATCCCATGAGCCGTGAGGTATAAATTGCCTGGAGATGATGTAATGTTAGCTTACTTACAAACAACGTAAAGGTTTGCTAGGGCTATATGCGGAAAGGAGTAGGAATCACGGCTAATGCACGCTCAGTTGTCTCCTCGTTCAAGCTGTTGCGTGTGGGTTTTGGATTGGGATACATATGAGCTACTGTCAGTATTAGCATGTAGGGTTTCTGTTGGTAATTTAGTATCGTCCCTCATATTTAGAAAAGGACCCTCGTTCATGAATTGTATGGGAAACACTGACTATAGATCATATGCTGCAAGAGGAGTACGTGCTCGTCCCAACGTACACACCTGCGAGCAAGCCTTCAAGCCATAAACCCTACCCCAAACCGTGGTAGTTCAAGCACATGTCGTATGAATGGTCTCCTGTTCCAGGAAAGCTGTCTTGGAAGCGCGCCATGGGATTGGGGGGAAAATTATCCCAATAACAAAGATTGAAATGGAATGTCGAAGGCAAAACGAAATGGAAGCTTGGATTACGTATTGGTCATATTGCAGGTGGGAGGGTACCTTTGGGGGGGGGTTTAGGGTCTATAGGGGGTATATAGGGCTTGTATTGGGGGATATGTAGGGGTATTTAGGGATTAGGGATTTAGGGTTTAGGGGCAACCCCGAAATGCAAGACAGGAGTCTTGTAGGTTTCATGTTTGTGGCAGAAACTGGGTCACAGGTTTCTACTCCCTGTCCCTTTCAATCTTTTGCAGATATGTGGTCTTTTCAAGTGCGGTCTCTGTTGAAGTGTGGTATGTCTGGACCTTTATGACGGTATTTGAGGAGTACGCTAGCTTCACCACAAAACAAAAATAGAAAGACACTGCAAATCAATTAAGCCGACTAGGGCCCTATAAGCCCCGCACCCTAAGCCCTAAACCCTACATGCTAAGCACTTAGCTCTACACCCTAAACCCTAAACCCCGAATCGAGAGGCAGCCTGCCGATGGTATACCGTCACCGGCGCCGATGCCACACTCGTTCACGATCTGTCGGCTTCCGAGATTGTGCCATAATCGTAGTTTCCGTTTTCTTTTCCAGTATCCCAATATAGCCCCAATAATATACCCTATATTCTATCTACTTAAGGGGGACTATAGGGTTTTAGGGTTTAGGGTTACCCACACTTATGCCCCAAGATGAATGTTTTTCAGAATTACGGGTACCTTTCTGTGGGTCTCTATAGTAAAGATTGTAGCATTTGGGGGTCTGTATTGCGGACCCCCGATTTTGGGAAACTACCAAATGTCATGCATGATTTTGGGGTATCAGGGCATAGGTTTCGATTGACAGAGCACTGCATGACCTTTTGTGGCTAAACCCTGTTTTTGTATTGTAGCCGAGACTCACACACACAAACACGCACATATAGATATATATGTATATATGTACACATGTACATGTTTAGGAGTATGTAGGACCTTGTCCATGATTGAGGGGTTCTCCTCTTCCTTTTATCTGCCTTCGATTGAAACTGTTCACTAATACTCCAGGCTAATTAAGCCTGACTAAGGGGAACTGCGGGGTAGCGTATATAAGGGAAGGGACCAAGGGAGGGCGGTAGTAATAGGGGAAAACAGAAATTCAACCCTAAACCCTGAAGAAGCTTAAGCCTTAAACCCTAAACCACCTGGAATCAACAGTAGGGTGTAAGTTTAAATCCATCAACTTAGACCCTAAATCCTTTACTCCCTAGAATGAACGTGGGGTTTAAGTATAAATCGATCGGCTTTGTGGCTTTGGGATTGTTGGGTTTGGCATTTGGGTTTAGTGTTTCGGGCTTAAGGATTAGGGTTTGGGGTTCAGGGTTTAGGGTGCTCAGGGTTTGGGGCTTAGGGCTTAGGGTTGAGGCTTGTACGGTAGCTGCTTAAATGGCTACCCATATGGTAGCACTATAGAAACCCTATGCAATACAATGTGGACCTCAAGTAATTCAGCTTGAAATGATATTGTAGTTTCCCATAAGGAGCCCGATATAGACCCCCCAAGAAAATTCAATGTTTCTTATCGGGACACCCAAAATGGCACCCGTAATTTTGCGAACCCTCAAACCTCAACCCTAAATGGTGGTTTCCATTTTCCATCATCCCACTATATCCCCATTACTACCCCTTAAATTTTGGAAACCCCCCAGACAATTTTTTAGGCCCCCTAAACCCTAAACCTTAAACCCTAAACCTTGAACCTTAAGCCCTAAATTCATCGTGATTTCGGACCTAGAGCTTGTAAGGTTTCAGGGCTCTGGGTGCCATGTCTGAGGTTCCAGGTTCCCCAGCAAGACCGCATAAGGACTTAGGGTTTAAGGATTTGCGTAGTGGGTTAGGGGTTTAGGGGGATTCGGGGGTTTGGGGTTTAGGGGTTTAGGCTTTAGGGGCTTAGGCGTGTAGGGTTTTGGGTTTAGGATTCAGAGGGTGTGGGGTTCAGGTCTCCGAAAGGGTAAATGCCTATCCATTCTCCAAGAAAAGGAACTATATTGTAGGTGTATCAACATGTACTCTTCTATGCTGGGGCCATGTAGAAGCCTGAGTAATGTGGAGTATTATCTGCTTGTACCCGTTCTATGTAGGTGTAGTAGATATGTGGTGCCCTAAATCACTCTTGTTATTTGTTAGGCCACAGCAGTACAACGCGTGTAAAACCCTTATAAACCCCAGCTTCATTCTGAGGCACTACACTAATGGTTGAGGCTGCTAAGCCCCAAGCCCTGCACTCTATTGAGCCCTGAACCCAGCCCCTAAAGCTATGAAACCCCTTAAACCCTATACCCTAAACCCCAAACCCCTGAAGGGCTAAACCCGAAATCCTACACCCTAAACCCTAAACCCTACCCGTGACCCCAATCACCTACAGTTTTATGGGTTATACCTAGTAATTAAGGGGCAATTACTATTAAGCTGTAGGTAATTGGGGTTACAGGTATACCCTAAACCCTAACTCCTTGTGTCGAGGCCGTTCCTCGGGTTCCCTCACAAGCTCCAACCCGTCCTTTTACATGCCCCACAGTTCCGCGGCGGAGAAGGTTTTGTGGGATTCTCCTAATGTTGCGGGATTTTGGGGAGATTAGAGTTTAGGGGGTTTAGGGCTTAGGCGGCTAAGGGTTTAGGGGCTTTTGGGGTTAGGGGGTTTAGGGTTTGTGAGCTATAGTTTTAAGTTTGTAAATTTGGTTTTATAGAGGAGTACTATGGTGGAGTATCATAGGAGTTCTTAAGGGAGATGCTAGGAGTTTAGACTGTAGCTCATATGGGTTCAGGATTCAGGGCTTACGCGGCCTCGCAGTATGATTGGCCCTGCACAATCCTGAGCTTCAAACCTACCCTGAGAGTCCAAGTACCAAACAATCATATACTTACCCAACATGTGTACTTACAATCGCAAATACGCAAACCCTGAACCATAAAACCCTAAGTAACCCTACTCCCTAAACCGGGTATTTGGACCCTCTAGGCCAATCATTCCCGAATGTTCTTGCGCCTCAAATCGCAGCTCGAACCGCACGCGCGATGAGACTGTCCCAACACGGTTTAGGGCCCAGGGCCTGTTAAGGGTTTAGGGGTTAAGGCGGTTAAGGGTTTAGAGTTTCGGGCTTTAGTGTTAAGGGTTTAGGGCTTGAGTATCGGGGGTTCTACAAATTGCATAGTGTTCAATTCGGGAGTTTTGGGCGATGTTTGACTGAGTTTCCGTCTCACTTTTGCTTCAAACAATTTGTATTCACCTGGGCTTTAGGGTTTAGGGTTCTTCTCAGGTTCTGATACATCACAGTTAGAACCCGGCAACAAACCACTCCTCAGACCATTTGAGAAGGAGCCATGACAAGCACGAAACGCCCGTCAAACCCTATACCTTAGGTGGACCCCCCACCCTGTAATAGTGACTACAAAGGATAATGGTAACTATATTAGGGTCCTCTTATATTCCTATTATGCCACTACTACAGCGTGGGGGGTCCACCTAACCTATACCCGAAACCCTAAACCCTAGTGTAAGCCGTCGAAAGGAAATGGGGCTCAAGAATCACACTGACAGGTCTCTGCCTCTTTAGTGCCTCACGCCCTGAACATGAATTCATAGAGCTTCAAACGTCTTTGGAGCAAGTAGCTGAAAGTACCAAAAACCGGATGCTCTGGAAACCCAGCCAGAGGTGCACCCCAGCTGCTCAAACCCAAACCATTCGGGCTAAAAGTGAAACATTTACGAGCTGATGACCTTAGCTTGCGCCCAAGTTTCACACAAAGTCTATGACGAGCAATAAACTGCGTAAAGAAATCCATTGAGTCTGCAACCCCAAGCCCTGCACCAAGCCTTAAACTGAACTTTTCCTGAGCCCTTCAAGCCCCACACCCTCAACCCCCAAACCCTTTCAAGCTCAATGTTCCACTAAACCTTCAACTCTAGGCTCTAGACCTTTCAAATGCTTTTTGAATGATGGCCTGACATAATGGTTATATAGGCTATAGTCTAAACTGCTTAAAGGGGTTTATATAAGGGATTATAGAGGGGACTACTATAGGGTATATTAAGGGGGATACTAGGAGTTTAGACTATGGCTCATATAGGCCATTGTTTCGGATATGTGGGAGGCGCAGTTTAATCCCCAACCCCTCCACAAGCTCAACATGATAATCGATTTATCGTCTAGGCCCCTGTACTATCCTAAAGGACCCTAAACCTGTTCCCTAAACGCTGAACCCTACATAACCCCTATATCCCCTATAACCCCTTCATCCCCCTTCAAAGGGGCCTTAAGCCCTTTCCCCTGAACCCTAAAGCGTTAAAGCCTAAACCCAAACCTTGAATCCTAAACCTTAACTTCTAAGAACATGTGCCTTGGAGAAAAGGTCTCATAACCCCAAAAATGTTCTCCCAAACCAGCCTAGGTGCCATGGGCGGAGGAGGTTTTAGCCAGACTGCGGTGCCTGCTGCGGCCTACATTGTCCCAACCTCGGGGGTTCAGGATTTAAGGCCTAGGGATTTAGGGTCAAGGGTTTAGGGTTTAGAGTTTAAACTTTAGGGTTTAGGGTTGAGAGTCTAGGGATAAAGGTTTAGGGGTTTCTTTGGGGTTCCACAAGCTGGGTTTGAGCATTAGGGGGTGGGCGTAGCCCCCAAACCCTAGACCTTAAGCCTTTAGGAAAGGCATCCTGGGTACTCGTACCTTTGGGTGCAGATGTTGCCTCACAAGCCATGTGCCCCAAAGGATGTGGGTTCCATGTATCCCAACCCGGTTTATAGTAGTGTAGCGGAGTTCATGCGGTCCTCCAGGAAATTATTGAATTCATTGGTTGTGGAGGTTCCGGAGTTGCGCGAAGTTCGTTTATTTATGGTCTGGGGCTGTAGTGCAAAGTGTAATGTTTCAGGATGTGGGTTCAGGAGGTTAAATGGTTAGAATGGTTTAGGATTTCTGGTTCGGGATTTGAAGTTTACGACTGGTTGGCCGCACTGCAAGATTGGACATGTATTTTGTCTTGTGGATCTGCCTTGTGCTCTGCATATTTAAGCGGGGTGTTTCGATTATTGGTGGGCTACTCGCTTTTGGTGCACCAGCAACCGTGTCTTAACAGATCCATGTGCTTGTTTCTCAACCCACCGCACTAAGCAGCAGTATAACTCTAACCCTAGCCTCGATATCATGAACCCTAAGCCTTGGTCCCTAAACGCAAAAACTGTATCATCCCTATGCCATGAACCTATAGCCCATCATCGTTTGAGCACCACCTGAAAATGTGGGCAGTCAGAACTGGTGCCAGCACTGCTGTGGCATATAACCCACCCATAGTGGAACATCAAATGGAACAGAAAATTGACATGACGTAGAAACTGGGTTTATGTAGGGCTTTATATGGATTATCCTGAGTAACCACTAGGATGATGTTGAGGTCTGCTCCATACAGTAAGATATCACCCTAAGCCCTAAACCCTAAACCCTAAACCATCAAGCAGAGCATGTGCAGATTGCATAGGCATGTTCCCATGCATTGTTGTGCATGGCCCGAAAAAAAGGCCTGTTTGTCAACCGCCCTTATCACCCGCCGTCGTTCCACATGCACAACTGCCAAGCGAACTCATCCATCGAAAGCCTGAAACCCTATAACTATACCCTAATTCCTATACCCGAACTCCTATACCTTAAACCCGAAACTTTGAACCCTAAACCCCACAGGAAAGCCGCGCACCTGGTAGGCTTACGGTCCTCAGCATGGGCCTACTGAGAGGGTCAGGGGGACTAGGTAAGTAGGTTTTAATTGTAGGGATCTTTGGTTTTAGGGGGTTGGGGGTTTAGGGGCTGGGGATAATGGTGGTAATTACAGGGCTTATACGGTCTACTAACCAATTTACTAAGTCCCTCTGACCCTCCAAGTATTGACTTAGACCCCAACCTGTTTTCTGAATCTTGAAGTGGCCCAGTGTCCTCAGGGTACACCTTGGGTATATGAGGGATCCCACAGTTAAAGGATCCTCAAAGTAGTCTCCCAATAGAACTAGAGTAGCCATTACAGCGCCATGCAATGGCCCATGGGTAGAGTCCTAAACCTTAAACCCTACTCTCTAGACTCTAGACCCAAATCCTTAAACCCTAAATCTTTGTGGAAAAGGTCGATTTGGCCGACCCTGTGGTGCCGACCTCAGCATCCCTAGGCAGCGTCGCGATTTGTCCCACGCTTGACACTGAAAGCTTTCTGAAATTAGGGGTCTCTTTGTTAGGGTCCTCACAGTAAACGTTATGAACTATGGGGGCTCTATCCCATATATGGCAACTGCCACCACCTTCCTTGGGAAGTATGCATGGTAGTTTGGTATATGAAGGCCATGCAGGAGTTTGAGTGTCAACCGGTCGCGAAGCTTGTTTTTAGGAGCATGCAAGGTTTCCTTTAACTTTTACGCTGGGTCTTCCTCCTTCCTCCTTACATTAATTGTCCTCAAACAGGGTTTAGTAGGAGCTGTTCTAACTCCTACTACCTATAAGGGGCAGTGACCTAAATGGATACCAAAATAGGGGCTCCCCTCATTGTCCCCCAAGGTATTATAATCCTTGTGGCATGGACCCCCCAAAAGCATAAGACGGTTTCCGACAGCGCTCCTAATTACAATGCAAAAGTTGAATCAAAGCCCTCTTCTCACTTAGGGCCCTAAGCCAAATCGTTGCGTAGAAGCTCCTTCATGAACTCAGCGTGCATGCCATGCTGCATTTGATGCTCCGCTATTTTTATGGTTTAGTCCCCTACACACTATTCAATGAACAAATTGTATTGGTTCTCTGGCTTAGAGCGCGGGACTTGCGGTGCCAGAATTTTAGTGAGGCCAATCCTGCATCATCTAGGTTTTTTTGTTTCCTGGTGTATTTCTTTGGATTCAAGTGATTCTGCGTGATTGAAGGTTTCCTACACAGAAGACTGCTGGCATCACTTCTTTCTCTTACTCGTTCTTAGTAGGGAATATGTGTACATATTATATAGGGGTTGTATGAGGGAACGCAGGGTTGAACTGGCAAAGTAAAGCATTTCTTGGTGCAGAGCCTGTCATGGCAATTAGACGTCTCCTAGGAAGAAAAAGTAGGCTTTGGGGGTTTAGGGTTTGGGGTTTAGGGTTTAGGGTTTGGGGTTTAGGGTTTCGGTATATGTGGGATTTAAGGCTACAGAGAAACTACCTCAATAACTGACAATCAAATTGGACTCGAAACGAGCACTACGGCTATGTAGGGGCTATAAGTCCAGTGCAAACAAACCATTTCCAAGCATGGGTTTTGCCCAGCGGATGGCTAGCTAGATTTTCAAACGTGGCCTCAGAGCTTTTCAGTCCTTATTGTGTACAGCATATGTACATTGGGGTCTATATCGGGTTCTCCCATTGACGGCAAGCCCCAAATTGTATACCAGTGTGTTCCCCCTCACGGTTTTTCCTTCGCCTGATAGTCTGAAGCTCACGACCTTCCCTCCCCCAGCATATATAGATACAGAGAGAGAGAGAGAGAGAGATGTGCTTGACTTAGTGGAGTTCTTGTCCCCAAACTTGGCTTCCAAGTGCTGCTCATTTCGCAGAAGACTGTAGGTAAATTCTTGGGGTGAACTTGTAGGCTCTACGGAGACAAACAGGAATCCCCTCGTTTAAGAAGCTTATTGTAACGACTTCAATGACGGAATCCTGTGCTGATTCGCAGGACCAACTATTAGGCAACGCCCTGCGCATGCTGGATGCTGCAGCGTCCTCCAAACTGGTGCTCAGGGCTCAGCTACACCAAAGGGTTCACAGGGTTTCCACAAATTGGGGTCCCTTGTGGGCCGTCCTCATAACCAGGATCATTGTTTCTTGGGGTCTATATTGGCCCTTCTTTCGCACCATGAAGCTCTTCATAAGTATATACGGAAGCTCTAACCCTGACTTCCCAAACCCTGATGTCTGAACCCTTTGCCCTAAACCTTAAGCCCTCAAGCCCCCAAAATCGAAACCTTAAAATGTTCAAACCTCAAGCCCTCAAGCCCTAAACCCTAAAACCCCAAGCTTGGCGGCCCTTTTTTTTTGGGGGGGGGGCAAGGGTAAGAAGTTTTGGGTATGAAGGGGGGAAATTGCTGAAACTATCCTAGTTCATGCGCTGCGACAATGCTCAGTAAAAAGACCTTGCGAGCCTTACCAAAGTAATTGGAGGCTCGATGTTACCAAGGTATTGCAGAACTTAGGTCATCTGCCCTTACAGCAAGCGTTTCCACAATAGGTAGGAGGAGTCAGTGTTGCTGCTTTTTACGACAGCTCAAAGATTATTACCATAAGGGGGCTGACACAAAGTATGACTGGACTTCCCCATTTCAATGTGCAGCCCCAGATAGGCCGCTTTCAGTTCGTTGTATGGCTTGCCATTAAGGAGCCTAAGATAAATTAGAATAACAAGAGTATATCTTAAATGATATGGTGTACTAGTGCTTCAGATAATTACCCGGCCTACCGTTGCTGGGTGAGCAAGGTACCCTAAACTCTACGGCCTACAGTAAGCCCTATAAACCCCATTCCCTGTAAAGACAGCTCTGAGCCCCTAATATCCCCAAGCCCCACAAACCCTAAACCCTAATATCCCCCAATCCCAGACCCCAAACCCTATAAACCCTGTACCCCTATAAATCCACCCTTCCAGAGCCGAAGCTCTCAGGTTGCGCCGGCTTTCCCCTGGAAGGTACGAGATCGACGGCCGTCGGGTGACGTTGCGCCGTAGCCCTGGGTTGGGTTTTAACCTTTAAGATTTGATTGTTTGGGTTTTAGGGTTTATATAGGGTTTTAGGGTTTATATAGGCGCTTATATAGGGGTGGGTTTCAGGGTTGATGGTTTGGGGTTTTATAGGGTTTAGGGGCTTAGGTGTTAGGGTTTAAGGTTTGGGGTGCTGATTGCAAGCCCAGATGCAGAAGCGGATGCTGCAAGTCCAGCTTGGTAAAAGGGGTCTAGACTTTAGGCTCAGGGTTGCGATTTTTTCTGAATTGAAATCACGATCCTCCCCCTGAACCCTAAACCCAATCTGTTACATCGGTGTATTGCTGGTCCTGGGTTCGTGATATAAGTTCGAAGCGTACATCTTGAAAGGGTTTCTTCCTTCAGGACTCCTGGTACCCAAAGGGTCCATGTAGGCATATGGTATAGGGTTGAGGGTAGGTGTATGGTATTCATTTAGGGCTTCCCATATGCCTACTTTAGGACCCAAGTATATACTACATAGCTACATGGACCCTTTGGGGTAGTAATTCCTGCACCTTAGACCATTTAACCGTTGACCATTTCCTATCGAATTTCTTCCCAACCTTTCTGCACATTCCACTTTCCACGACACTTCCATTTGATGCTGCAGTCTTTCACGGGCGTACCAAACATCTTTCCAACCTTAAGCGCGAAACCTAAACCCCAAACCCTAAACCCGCAACAATTCTTCCATTGGGCAACTCATACATGCTCTAGACCCGTTTGCCTAAGCCCCTAGTTATCAGGGGGCTCGAAAGGTCAAATGAAGGTAGGTGGGCTACAGGATCCCGATTGTAGACTCCATCATTTTGGATCTTATTTCCCTTACCCCGCACACTAAGCCTTAAAACCTAGAACCCTAAACCCTAAACCCTCACCCATTGGTCCCTCTTGAAGTACGTGGCAAGGTTGGGAGCAAGGAGGAGCTGGCCTAGTCGTCATCGAAGATGAGGACCCCGGGTGATAAAGATACTCTATTTAGGGTTTAGGGTTTAGGGTAGACCCGAACCCTAACCCTAACCCCTATATACCTGGACCCCAAAAGTATATAAAATAGTGGCATTTTGGGCTATTATGAGGGGCTTAGGGCTACTAGTTTACATACTTTTGGGGTTTGGGTATGGGGATTAGGTTTAGGGCCACGCGGATTTTGTTAGTGTAGGGCGCGTTCTCCCCGCAGATATCGTGGGCGGAGGGGCGAGGGGTAAAGTAGCGTCTTGCTGTGCATTGTACTCCATGTATATGGCAGTGCATCCCAATACAAACCCCCAAATAGTATAATCCTTATTATCGGGACCGCCAAACATTCTGAAAAAGGTACCCCTAACTTTCGGAACCCCTCCCCAAAAAACCTTTATGTGGGAAGAAAATCGGTAACTAGCAGCTTTCTTTCCTAGATGAGTGTGGTAGCAAAGAGATGGGCTTACCTGGACCCTCCAATGTAGTTCTTTTTGGGGTTTAGTATGTTTTTTGGTCAGGACTCCTTTTAGGATTACCCAAAAGGTATTATCTTGGAGGGTCTATGCCTAGGTAGTTTAGGGATGAGGTAGACTTTTTTGAGCATACACATCGGAGCTTCGGGCAATTCCCGAGAGTGCTGTTGCACTGTTGAATACAATTCCTGAGAGTGCTGTTGAATACAGTATCATGTGAGTAGTATTTCATTAGGAGATACTATGGTACCCAATGATATAGAGTAAGATTATATCCTCCTTTTGGGTATAGTATCTTATATACGAATATTATCTTACTACAAAAGGTTCCTTCCAGGATTCCCGAGTCCACACCCTAGCGCCCAGCTTGGAATTGGGGAACTGGCTGTGACAGGTCTTAGACGCCAGAGGTTCGTCCATGCCGTTCCTTGCCTGGCATGAAGTCAAACCCCTAAGGGTCCAAGGACCCAAATAATAGGGTTTTAGGGCCCAAATACTACAATGTTAATGGTATTTGGGCCCTAAAACCCTATTATTTGGGTCCTTGGACAATTACGGGTTTTCGGTTCATGGGTTCAGGGTTTTGGGTCCATATCTTCCAGTCAGGGCGACCCCAGGGCCTACAGTATCCAATAGATCTTTCTAGGGTCCCCGGGGAATATCTATACCCAAATGCCAGATTATAGGTCAAGTTTCGCTGTTCGGGGATTAGGGTTTAGTCTCTCCTCCTTGCTAGAGATGCTGCAGACTTCAAAACTGTGCCTCCAGAACCAGAAACCATCCTAAAACCCATCACTACTGAAACCTTAGCCCTAAATCCTATACCCCATAACCCCTAGCCTTGAGCCCCTCCAGAACCCTAAACCCTAAAAGCCCTGAACCCTAAACTAAACCCCATCCTAAGCCCTAAGCCCTAAACCCTTTAACTTCCCAAGCCCTAAGCCCTTAACCCTGTGAGTATTAGGGGGCTATAAGGTTGATACGGGATCCATATCAGTGCCTTGACTGATGTCCATTGGGTCTTTTGGTACGAGTAAATGTAGCACGAAGTACACGTGGATACTTGAACCTCTAGGGTAGACAGAATACACTTGTACGTTTGAACTTGCCCTGTGAGGCGCCCAAACTTCGCTTCGTAGGGCAAATCCACACGAAAATCTGCCCTAAACCCTAAACCCTAGCGGGTTCATGATTTTAGCCACAAGGGTGTCTAGGAAAGTTCCTGGACAGTCTCATGCAGCCAACAAGAAAGCTGCAGCTAAATGAACGCTTCTCCTATAAGGTTAACGTCGTTTTGAAGCTAAACAGTTCCCGCTTCCGCTAAAACCAGTTTAGGGTCTAGAGTTTCCCTCAAGATACCAAGATTGCGGTCCTAAATTCCTTGTACAGTTATGGTGTATGGTACCCCAAACGGATCTCAAAACGATATGGGCAACCCAAGAAGGAATACAAAGCTGAATATTTCGGAATATCCCGATGCGGAACCAGATCTGTAGGGCTTCCTTCGCGGTTCTGCTATCGGAAAGTGCAGCTAGGTGAACAGGGGGAACGCATGAATGGATACAGATACCCAGCAGAAGTCCCCAATGTCATTCTTTTATGGCAGTAAATGCATGCACATACATACATAATCATACATATTTATCTCTCTTTCTCTCTCTCTCTCTCTCTCTCTGTCTCTCTCTCTCTCTCTCTCTCTCTGTATGGTAGTCCCTATATACACTCCTTCATGTTCCAAATCCTCAGCCCTATCGTCCCTATGCTTCAGGTTGCCGGCCTACCTGAAGTCAGCTGGAAATGTTGCCGCGTCGCTGAGTGGTCAGCGCGCAGCGAAGCTGCAAATAAAAGGAGGGGTCCCTTTCAAGGAGTTTAAAGGGATTACGCCCCTTTAACCTTTTTTTTGCGCAAAAAAAGATGCAAATTGAGCCCTCCAACCACATCTAACGCCGCACCCTGTGAGTACATTTTGACTCTTTTTGTTGGCCACTCCGGCACTGCCTCCCACGGCACAAGATTCCATTGCATCCGATAACTAGAGCAACCATGCCCAAACCATAATGACATTTGTGTTCCGAGTGCATGCGATTCCCAGTGCATCCGTGCCCAAAGCATAATAAAGTTCGTGTTCCAAGAGCATACGGTGACCAGAGCATCCTTGCCCAAAGCATCATAACGTTTGTGTTCCAAGAGCACCCTCTAACCAGAACATCCATGCCCAAAGCATAATAACGTCCATGTTCCAGTGCATGCGAGTACCAGAGCATCCATGCCCAAGCCATAGTAATGTTTGTGTTCCCAGAGCATCCGGGGTCCGCGAGCATCCATGCCCAAACCATAATACCGTTCAGGTTCCAAGAGCATACAGGGTCCGCGAGCATGCGTGCGAGAGTCCGTATGATCAGCTCCACCAAGATCGTCCTTGGGACATGCTCGAGCTGTATAGGCTTCAAATTGCCACAAACCATAGTGCAGCTTTCGTTGCTGTCGGCGCCATTCTCTCCTGCAAATCCTGCAAAGGTACTGGCCAGAAAAGTACGCGAGCTACGTCGCGAAAAAAGAACACCTTCTCCCTGACAACTCCTGGGACTCATTTTTTGCAGAAAATCGAGTCCCAGCAAAAGGCCTCCAGGTCTGCCAGAGGCAGAAAACGCTGGTGTGCGTGGGACACACCACATCTCCGCAGCCTCAGACAAAGAAAAAAGTGCGGCGTTGCGCGCGGTTGGAACGTTGAAGGGGCAGGTGGTGGGGTCGGCTGGGTGCAGGCTTCTTCATGACTTGAGGGGGAGGTTTTTGGGTCGCTGGACCATGTAGCCCGGATTTAGGATTTAGGGAAGAGGGCGTAGGGTGGCTTACGGTTGGAGGATGGCTTCTAGGGAATGGAGGACTGGACGCCTATAGTCGTCCTTCAATGATCTTCATTATTGCCCCTAGGCTATATTCCTCATTCCTGATTAGTAGAGTAGGGACGACTGTAGGGAGACATATAGCTACTACGGTAGGTAACTCTGGCTGCGTAAGGGCAGGATTTACGGCATAAGGTTCAGGGTTCAGGTTTAGACTCAGTCATATTTGAACAGTCTTCATGGGCTCTCATGAGCGTTGGAGAACCGCTTGAGTGCCCCGAAGATGAGCTATTTCTCGACCTGGGTCGGCCGTTGGCATGTTTCAATATGGGGGCTTCACAAAATTGAGGGTACCTGTTTGGAGGTCCCTATAATAAGGACTATAGTATTTTGGAGTCTATATCGGGGTCCCCTTATTTATACCAATATCTGTAGGGGTCCCGAAAGGCCAACCCAGCAACTACTGCTCAAAGAGGGCCCATGCAATGCCCATATAGCCTTGGCTACCCGAAGATGCCAAAGCTCTGAACCCGAAAGGGTTTAGGGTTTAAACCCCTAATTGCCCTAATTTGTTTAGGGTGCAGGATTCATGCAGGGTGCAGGGTTTGGTGTTTAGGAATCAGGGTTTAGGGTTGAAACCTTGAGCCCCACACCGCGAAGTATCCCAAGTCCTTCAAACCACTGTCACCCCTCTTTCAGCAGTGTAAAGTGCAGATTAAAGACAGCTGAGCCGCGAGCCCACGGCATGAGACAGAACTTCCAACGTATTTCCACCAGGATGAAGGGTTCAGGGTGTTCCCATCAGGGTTTTTGTGGAGGAGGATTTGAGGCTGAAAGTTTCGGGTTCAGGGGTAGAACCTTGGATGAAAAAAACGGAGGTCAGGTAGGGGTTTGGGTAGCAGAACTACCCTAAACCCTAAACCCCCTCCAGGTCCCAGAGCCAACCTCACGATTTAGCTCCCTGGCCGATGCTCCAACCCGAAACCCTGTAGCCTTGAAACTCTGGGGGTTAGTGTTTATAGGGTCTAGGATTTAGGGTTTAGGGTTTATAGGGTAGCCAGCCTTGAAATTCTGAACCCCAAAGCCTACATCTGCAGGAACTCATGGATATATGAGCTATAGTCTAAACTTCTTAAAGGGGATTACATAGGGATTATATAGGGTTCCTATTATAGGGCTATTTATTAAGGGTATACTCGGAGTTTAGACTCTGGCTCAGATGGTATTCAAAACACTCAATGTGGTAGTTTCCCAGAATAAGGGAATAAGGGGAACCTGAATATAGACCCCAATATATGTATATATATATATATACATATATTATATTCCTTATGATTAATTAAGACCCCCAAAAAGCCTAAACCCTAAACCCTAGCTACCCGTAAATTTGAGAAATTCCCATGTCTCGGTGCAGAAGCCCCTGTCCCGGCATCCTACGCTCTGGATTGCCAAACCCGTATCCCAAGAGTTCCGGCACACCCTGAACCCGATACACCGCTTAGGGTTAAGGGTTTAGGGCTTACCTGGACCCCAAAAGTAGGTAACATAATGGCCTTGATAGCTATTATTATGGGTTTAGGGCTATTATTTTACATACTTTGAGGGTTTAGGTACCCCGGAACAGAAGCCCGCATGTCTCCAGGCATTAAATTGGCACTTGGCACCTGGAACGCAATGGATTTATTGAAGGGTAGTAAGCAGACACCGTGACGTTTTTTGATGGATCCCAAGTCCTGCGCCTGTCTCTCTGGCATAGCTATAGGCAGACATGCCAAAGATCGCCCGGGTGCCAAAGAGCCAGCGGCTGACCTTTGACGACGAAGCGCCAGCTGCGCTCTCAGATGGGCTTAGGCTTTGGGGTTTTTAGGTTTCAGTGTTTGAAAGCTAACCTAGTGCATGACTCGCCAACAACCGTTTTTTTTGGTACGTAATACTAGCTACAATATGCCCCGCAGCTCTATTCCAAATGAATAGGCTCGTATACGAGTCCGCCTTGTATGCGGGTTTCCTAAAATTAGCGGCATCTGTTTTGCGGGTCCCTATTGTATTTTAGGGTCCATACTGGAGTCACGGTCCCCCAGTTTTGGGTTTTGGGTTTAGGGTTTAGGGTTTAGGGTTTTGGGTTTTGGGAGACTGCCATATAGGGTTTAGAGGGTATTGGGGAGGGTTGTATGTTCAGAGTTTCAAGGTTTACAGTTTTTGGGGCTGGGGCACAGCTTTAGGCTGGGTAAAGGGTTTGAAGTGTGGAAGCTAATAGTCCATGGCTGGCGGCAGCGAGTTTGGGCTCTGGCGTTCTGATTTGGTTAGTTCCCAAAATTAGGGTCCCATCTAGGTACTGCTGGAGAGTAGGTGCCGTAATATAATCTATACTCTACAACCAAAAGGACCCATGTGTGTAAAGTTCGGATAGACGGCGGATATTTCTCGGGCGAATTTGCTGTCATGGCCCTTCACGAGCCCTGCAGGCTTGTAGCTGGGAGTGCCCATGTGGAGCTTCCGAACCCTGAAGCCATGAGTCCCACAAATCTTAAGCCCTAAAACCTGGACTAAACGCTAACCGCTTGTCGTCCCCATACCCCAAACTCAAGCTCTGAGAGCCCCGAACGTGGCTCCAGGGTTTAATTGGGGTTTCGGGAAAGTGAAGTCCTGAAACTTCTGAGACTGTGAGCTCGACGAGGTTCGGGGTTGATAGCCTTTGAACCACAGGCCGAAGCCCCAACGCAGCCAGCATCCTCACCGGTCCCTGTCCCAAGCCTATATCCCATGTGTCCGAAGTAGATCGTTATCATAATATGAGCTCTAGTCTGAACTCCTTAAAGGGGCGTTACATGGGGGGTTAATATAGGGGATTACTCTAGGGGTTACTAAAAGGGAGACAAGGACTTTAGACTGTAGTTCATATACTCCCCAATAAGGATTACTAGCACAAAACCACCAAAGTATATGACCATTAAATACCGGAACTGTGGGGAAGTGTGTTAACAAAGTGCAAGCCGGGCCTACACGGCCTTGCATGTAGGGGCGGGTCTCTTTATATGCGCTACTGTCAATAGCAGGATTGCCACAGGGCCATCAAGGTTGGATGGTTATAGTGGTCCCTTTGATAGTTTAGGGTTTAGGGTTTAGGGTTATAACATATCCTGTCATTTGGGCCCATGCCCATTAGGTATAAGGGAATATAGATTGTAGCTCATCTACGTTGAGTCACAAGCCGCAAGACCACTTCTGACTTCCCTAAACCCTACACAATCCCTAAAGCCGACATCAACGTATTGATGTATTGCATCTAGCCAAATCAAACGCAAGGTGGGCCTGTGCACTCATTCCTGTTTTAGGCTTAGTTTTGAGTTCATGCTTTCTTGTGACGCTGTGTCGAACTTACGGGTTTTCGTAGTTTTCACTCGGGGATTGTAGTCCTCAGGCGTATATGCGCTGGCCCGCATTTTGAGAAACCCCACTGGCACAAGTGCTCACACAAAAGCGATCTTACTGGGTTGTTGTTGATGATGATGATGATGATGATGATTTGTTGTTCTTGTCGGCGAATTCGTAAGATTCCCCGACATTGGCATGGAACGAAGGTACAGCTCCATTAAGACTATAGCCCTTTCCTAAATCCTCAACCCTAAGTCTTAGTTAGCTGAACCCTAAAAATAGGTACATACTTGTCTCGGATTCCATGTGTTTTGGGCAGATCAAGCCCTACACTCTTCTGTAGAAGCTTAGTGATTATCAACATTGTTCCCTAACAATGCCGATGTGATTTATGTTACAGCTGTAGAATAGTCTCCGAAAGCCATATTCTAAATGGATAAGCCCCTCCTCTCCGAAACCCAACATTCTAATTGGATAGGACCCTGGATTATCCCCGAGTCCGAGCCCGCAACCCCAGATCCAAAAAGAAACTAAAACCCTAAACCCTAAACAACTCCATCGCAAGGCAGAGCAGAATCTCGCGGCGCAGATTGAAAAGCTAGGAAGCGAGCATCTGCGATGCACGGATTGTTCAAAGGGCCCTTCAAAGAGGAGATTCAGGGTTTACCTAGGGATGTCATAGGATTTTCCGTTCGGAGTCTCGGCGGTTGAAACTTGTGAAAGGAATGGAGATCTTAGATTTCACAGAACATGGGATATGAAATGGAAACTGCGGTTGCACCAGGGGTTTCTGTGGGGATGCTATGGTTCTTACCCACTATAGAGTAAGAAGGTATCCTCTTGTTGGGGCATAGTACCTAATATACGGAGTATAATCTTACTTTGGGTTCACATTGGCTGGGCTCAGCAGAAGCAGCATCAGATCCCTAAATCTGGGGGGGATCTAATTTGCGGAGGTGGGGCGGGGGGGCCGAGTGTCGTACAAAATCTATCCCCCACACCCTCTGCTGAGTTTAGGTTCCTGAGCAGCAACCCAGGAAGTTCAGGGCTTAAGGTGCGAGACTTATGCTCCTGGCTTGAAACCCTTAAACCCTAAACCCTTAAACCGTATATCCTTTAAACCCCGAAACCCTAAACCCTTAAACCCTAAACCTTAAACCCTAAGGCTTGGGATTGAAGGTCATGCTTCCAGGATGCTGAAATCTGGATTTTGGGCTTAGGGCGTATGACACGAAGATGGAAATTACTGTATAATGATGGTGTATTTATTGGGGTTATACAGGGATAGCGGAAAAGAAATTGGAAACGACTATAGCCGAGTTTTACTTGAAGTTCACCACCAGCAAAATGCCAAATGTACAGCTGAAGCCGTCTTTGAGATGTATTGGTTCCCCAAAAAAGGAGGGTACCAGTTTGGGGTTTCCTATAAGAACGATTATAGTGCCGGGGTCCGCGTTGGGGTCCCCGTAATTAGGGGAAGTACCATGTGTATGCTCTAGCCCTGGACCGGGTGAACGGACAACTTGGGGACGCCAAAACCCTAGTACCTGGACCCCGAAAGTATGTAAAATGATGGCCCTTAGGGCTATTCTTAGGGGTTTAGGGCTATTATTTTACATACTTTTGGGGTTTAGGTAATGACCCCTTAATCCCCTAATGCAGAATATTTCTCCCCATTGCATAATGGTATTCTGTTGGAGGTGATTCTGGTGGGGGCGTGGTAGCTGTGAGGGGGAAGGAAGGGGGGATTGTTACAGAGTTGGGGGGATGCGAAGCTTTTGGAGGTGCAGTGCAATTACAATTCAGGTAGCATCGCAGTCCTAACCCAGCTAATTCAAGAGTTCCCTAAGTCCTCCGAAGCCTCCCAGAAGGGGAAGCACAAAGTCTCAGGTTGATTGCGGGGTGACATGAGCTGTAGTGTAAACTCCTTAAATGTGGTCTACATTGAGAAATTACATAATGTAGAAACCTCAATATTCAAAAGATCATCTTTAGATCTAGTTTGAGGTACCCTCTACCATTAGTGTTTAGGATATACAGTTTAGGATTTAGGGAAGCAATCTCGAACCATAATGCTGGTAATTGTTTAGGGCCTCCATGTTAGAGGAGTTCGGGACTTGGGGAAGAGTCCGGAGTATCCACAGCCACCTCATTCTCCGTTGAGGAATCAAAAGAGAAGTAGCCTGCTGCTCCAGACAGTCCCCATCACCCACCAAACCCTAAACATTAGATCCTAAACCGCACAATGCGAGCTATATCCCCCTCAATGACCGCTACAATACACCCCTATGTTGTGTAACACTGTAACACCTAGTGTAGTCCAGTTCCCATGTCATGTCCGAGCTTCTTCTTCATTTCACTCTCCAGCTCTTGGAACCTGAGCCATCTGTCGGGTGTGGATCCTCATAGCAAGCCTTTCACAAGCCCGAACGATACAGCTTCCATTTTTCGTTTCCCTTCCTCCTACATTAAATCCTAAGCCCAAAGCCCTAAATCATGGCTTCGATTTCTTTTCCATTCCCTAAATCCTGCATAGTTGTTTCTCAAGGGGGGCCCACATCGGGACCCCACCATAAACCCCTAAATCCTAAACCCAATATTCTGGTTCTTTCCATTTTCTTTTCCATTATCCCGACATAACCCCAATATAACCCTATTATACACCCTATAAACCCTATAATCCCAGTTTCCATTTCATTTTCCATTTTCTTTTCCATTTGATTCTCCATTATAACTCCAATGCTTCGTCAAGTTGTCCTCGAATATAACCCCAATATAATCCTAATATAACCCCAATATAACCCCAATATAACCCCAATATAACCCCTGTATAACCCCTATATAACCCCAATAATAGGATTAATATAAACTACTTCGTCAAGTTGTCCTCGAATTGTCAGCTGGCCGCGCGCTTTGTTGCGCTACCGTCGTAGTCGAGGCCCAGCCCAGGGTTGGTCAATGCTGAGATAACGTGCAGACTGCCTGGGTTGCTGTTAAGGAACCCAAATTAAGTTACCATAATGGGTATATATAGTAAATAATAGGGTTTCCCCAATATAGTAACTTAATTTAAGTTCCTTAACAGCAACCCAGCTGCTTGATTCCCTGGGGGGGCACAGAGGTGCCTGGCCGCCGTGGGCCTGTATGCTTTAGATTGGGAGAGCATGAAGTTGCCTCAGTTTAAGAGTGATTTTGGAAGGGGCTGGGGAGCTGCTTGCCCAAGGCAACGCAAGCTTCGAAACACCAGCCACATCCACCCAGCCGGCCACAGCAGCTGCGCCGTCGACGGAGTTTCCAGCCAGCGCCAGCCCTGCCGATAGTGCACTCCAATTCCCTGACCGAGCACCCTTCTCATCCTGTTTCGGCAGTCCGGGCGTTCCTTCCTCCAGCCAGGCTGCAATATAGACCCCAAAATACTATAATCCTTTTTCTGGTGACACCCGAAAGGGTACCCCTAATTTTCGGAAACCTCGAAATCTTAAGCCCAAAGCTTTCAATAGTAGCTTCGCTTTTGCTGGTCCGGTCCTTGAGGTCCTAAATCCTACATATGAAGCCCGAATTGTAGCTAGTGTGTACGTTTAATTAAGGTTTAGGGATGATCTTTTCAATCCTCGATAATTTAAATCCTGAATCCAAAGCCCGAAGCCTCCATTTAGGGTTTAGGGTCTAGGATAAATCCTGAATTCAGAACCCGAAGCCTCCATCTAGGGTCTAGGGTTTGGGGTACTGCCTTGCCTAAACCCCCAAAATTATGCAAGGAATTATGGCCTTGTACTGTTTTATTGAGTTACGGACCACCATTCTATATCTCTGCATGCGAAAACCTCCCTCTTGCCCTACTAGCCAGGATTAACCCCAGTTTTCATTTAATGCTCCATGCCCTGTGTCATTTATTCGCTTTCCACTACTGAGGAAGTATCCCTAAACCCTGAACCCTAAACCTAAAATCCCCAAACCCGAATCTCTAAACCCTAAACCCCTAATGCCTAAACCCTACATCCTATTTAGACCAAACCGTAACGAGCAGCTAGTCTTCACAATCCCCCAAGTCCCAGCGAGTCCAAGGCGCTGTGAATCGATGCGTTGAAGCCCCAGATCCTATGTGAGCCATGGTCGAAACTCCTTATAAGGGTTATATAGGGTTTAGGGATTAGAGTTTCGGGTTTAGGGATGAGGGTTTAGGCATCAGGGTTTAGGGATTACGGTTTAGGGTCTAAACTCCTTCAACGGGGCTATGTAGGGGAGTGTGTAGGGGCCATTAGGGGGATACGAGAGGTTTAGACTGTAGCTCATGTATGCTTCTAAAGGTTTAGGTTTTTAAGGATTTGGGGATTTTGGATTTAGAGTTTAGAGATTTAGGGCTTAGGGGATTAAGGATTTTAGGTAGCAGTCGAGGAGGGTTGTGGAAAGAGGGCTCAGAGTTTCGGGTTCAAGGATTTGGGGTTCAGGGTTTTGGGGTTTTTGGGATGCTGGATTTAGGGTTTAGGGAGTGAAGTTTATGGGGATATAGGGTTTTAAGACATTAGGTTCAGAATTGAGGCTTGGGTTTAGGGATTTAGGGTTTAGGGATTGAGGGTTTTAGGATTTAGGATTTAGGTTTTATAGGAATTTAGGGTTTAGGGATGTAGTGTTTTGGGATTTAGCGTTTAGGGGTTAGAGATCGCTGGGGTTTGGGTTGAGGGTTCATGGTGTACCCAACTAGCTCCGCTGGGCGTAAGTATTTACAGGAGCACATTTGAGCGCAAACTGTGTGCTGTCTGGATTCTGTAATTTTTTCGTTATGCTAAACTTCAAACCCTTTACATAGCCATGGTCTTCGACTGTATTCCTATGTTTTCCGCACGCTTGGTCTAAGCTAGGCGGAAGGGCAAGCAAAGGCTGAACCTTAAAGCGTGTGGACTTTGTGCGGGCCCAGAGTGCACAAAATCGGTTGCTTCACATTCAGGATTTTCAAGATTTCCTGGTGTTGTTGGAATCCCTGCTGCTTCTGCATTCAGTCCTTTGACAATCAACATGAGATCGTGACTACGGTTCCTATCGTTACCGTGCGCTTCTGGCGTGCTGTTGTAATCCCCTAGTGGAAACCCTAAACCCTAAGCCCCT